CTGGTCTTCTGGAATTTCTGGTAGGCGTCCGGCCCTCTCAGCAGAACTTTTCTGGCTATGCTCGGTGCTTGATTTGGGGGGGCTCCCTGGCTCCCTTGCATTGCCCGTCCCCTCCACTGGCCCTGACCGTGGTGGTCTGGTGCCATCAGGACTGGCAGCCGCCATGTTTCACCTCAAATAATCACGATGGAAACCCCTGCTGTGTGCTGGGCTCCTGCGGCCCGGGGAGCACGTGTGTGCTGAGTGTGTCTCCCCACGCCCCCCCTGGGGTGTCAGGACTGGCTCCCGCAGCCGCCAATGCCGGTCACCCAGGGACGTGGCGGTGGCCCCAGCCCAGGCTGCTGCAGGCTTCAGGGGGCCGTCGGCACCGGGAGTTGCCTGGCTCTTGGCTTCTGTCCGGCTCTCGGCTCCCACCCGGCTCTCTGCTCCTGCCCGCCCGGTTCAGCTGGGCTTGAGAAGCACAACACTCACTCGGGGGTGCTGCTCACTGGATATTCCGGGGGGCCCACGTGGGGCGCCCTCTTTCCTGCCGAGACACCTGGCCCAGTGGGGGCCGAGGGGTGGGGAGACAGGTTCTTCCTGAACAGCTTAGAAGTCAAAGTCTTTGCCAAGCTGCATATGAATCATTCTTTTTCTTCTTCTCAAATAACCTCCGACCCCCATTTTCTCTTTAAAGTCTGTCTTAGGGAATAACATCGGTGGAGCCAGAGGGCAGACGCTTGGCAGTGCTTTCTGCACACAGGGGCAGCGGGAAGGGAGGCAAGACGCTTTCCAACTTCGCTCACGTAAAAGTCCGCTGACTGTCTCCTGAGCACGTAGCAAAAAGGGAGCGCTGACGGGCAGGAAAGGAAACGCTGCTTTTAATCCTGCTTTGAGTTTGCAGCCGAGAAGGAAGTTGGCCTCAGTTCTTGCATGCGGTGGGGGAAAATGACCTTGAACCGGAGGCATGAGCCGAGCCGACGTGACGGAGAGGACGGAGAGGACGGAGAGGACGAAGGGGCTCATTTTCAGTCCCGAGTGTAAACAGCAAATAGCATGGCCGTCACGAAAATAGCAGCGCCAGGCCAGGGGCTCTGTCCCTGTTCCTGGACCCGTCACTTCTGTAAGCCCCTGGCCGCTTCTAGATTGCGCTCTTGATCCTGCTGTTCCTCAGCAAGATGCTTTTAGTACACTTTTTTGGTTATTTTATATTAGTTGTCATTGTTGGAGTGACAGAATTTAAGGTTCTGTTAACCCATCACACACGTGCGCGCGCACACACACACACACAGTCTCTTACTCCGTCTTTGTCTTCCTGTCTCTCCAAAGAGTTTCGTTACCAGTTCCAGTTGAGTCGCTGTTCAATCCGCATCACGATGACTGCCCGGAGCTGGGTCACGTGTGGGCCATAATTATGGCCCCTTTCCCGTGTGATTTGTTTCCATGGAAGCAATAACGGCTTCTTCTAATGGCTTCCTTGATTTTCTAGGTATGTCTTTCTCATTCATTCCAAGGCTTTCTGAGGGGCCCAGAAACCTCCAAATACACCCGTGATGGCAGCAGGCCAGTCCTTGAGCATCCTGGGCGTCCCCCGGAGCTGTGTGGCCTCGGCTGCACCTGGGCTTGTGGTCCCGGCTGTGGCTGGCTCCTGGCCCGTCACCACTCCTGCGGGGAGTCCTGTCGCCTCTCTCCTCTGTCTCTGTTTCCCTTTGGTTTATCTGGAAATGGAACTTGGGAGGTAAAATGTTGAATTTCTGTGACCTCACTCTCGATTTGCCTAACAATGTTTACTCATTTCATTGAAATATAATTCTTGCTGGACAAGTCAGCCATTTAACACACAGCAGTCAATTTTAGGAGCTTTTGAATGATTTTTATCACGCCCGAGAGAAACCCAGAGAGGTGAGGCAACTTCCTGTCACCTCTCTGCCTCCAGTGTTCCAGGATGGAGTCCTGAGGGGGTTCACACCTATATATTTTCAAATTGCTTCTCCACCGTCAGGAATTTCCTGTGCTAAAAGCTCCCCAGCTCAGTGCCTTGCTGTAACCGGCACTTGCTGTGACCTTCCACTATGGTTCTGACTTTTCAGTTCTGGGAGATTCTGCTCTTTGATGACAATTGTTACGATGCTCGCCTCAACTTTCTCCTGCCAACTTTTTGGCCTGATTATCATTTGTGTTGATGCTCCTGCATTAGGCTTTCCTTTCTGCCTTCAAATGAAATGCTAACTCATGCTCCCTGGAAAAGCCAGAGCATTGCCAAGATTGACACCACCTGTGTGGCTCACCTGTGCGCTTCCTCGCGGAGGTGGAGCTAGTCACCTCATGCACGGCCTTTGAAAAGTCATCTTACGTATGCGCGTCTCTCTCTCTGTCACACTTGCACATGCAAAATCTCCTGTCTACGTAAATCATTCCTTACTGTACTTAGATTTTGCAGTTTGTCTCTGTCCACCGAACATGGCGCCCCAGAGGGGCCGGCGCTGTCTCTGGGAGGGGAAGTCTGCTCCCTTGAGCTTCTGTTTGCCCTGTGTAACTGCCACCATGTACTCAGTCCTCAGTGATGGACACTGGGTTGTTCCATTCTCCGTTTTTAATTATTATTATTATTATTTTTTAAAGATTTATTTATTTATTCGCACAGAACTGGGGTACAGGCCAGAGATGCGGAGGGTGAGAGGATTCACCAGACACATCGGGGAGCAGAACAGGCTGACTGACGAAGTACACTGCTGAGGGGAGCAGCAGGCGGGTCAGGAGAGGTCTGCCGGACCATGTGGTCACCTCCGGGGCAGGCGGGGATCAAACTCATGCGGAAGTGGCTTAAGCTTCTTTGTGCTGTGCTTTAACCCGCTGCGCCACCAGGGAGGGCCCTAATTATTATTTTTTAAATTGAATATAATGCTTGTTCTTGCCTACTGGAGAACGGGGGAGACCCCATGACACCGTCGCAGGCGGTGCGTGGTGGGGTTCAGTAGCGGGGCAATGACACCTGCTTTCCCAGGATCTTCTGCCTGTGTTCTTGCTCTCCAGCGGTGTCTGAGAGTTCTTGTTGCTCAACCTGTTCACCCGCACTGGGTGTTGCTATTCTCCCTAATTTTTGGTTTAATAAGTTTTCTTTGGCTGCAGTCTTCATCTGTAAATGGAGATTATATAATGCCTACCTCATAGCATTGCAGTGATAATTAAATCAGTTTATGTATGTATGTATCATGGATTCCTACTCCTATCTATAGATCTTACAGTAGCACTTAGCATTGAATAAACAGGAGGATATAAATGTTAGTGATAGCAGCTGTGACTTAGAGCCAGTGTGTCATTGATACACTATAGAAAAATAATCATATTAATGATCTATACTCCAGGAATGGAAAAAAAAAAAAACTACAAAAAAGGAGTGTAAAATTTGAAGTGGAATTAAACTATGAAAGAAAGAAACATCAAAAAAATCTACTAGGGGCCTCCCTGGTGGGGCAAAGGGTTGAAGCTCTCACCAGCCACTGCAGCACGAGTCCCACCCGGCCGGGAAGTGACCCCAGGGCCCAGCAGACCTCGCCTGTCCTGCCAGCTGCTCCCCTCAGCAGTGGATATCAGTAGATCTGCCTGTTCTGCTCCCCGCTCTGTCTCTGGTGAGGCCAACCACACCTCTGGCCTTTACCTTATGCATAAATAAATAAATCTTAGTGCAGCAAAGGACCTGAGTTCCCGTGAGGCCCTTTCGCAAGGCCTGCTCGGTGCATCTGAGCCTCAGGGTGTGGGCTCGCAGGCCTGGGGGGGACGTGCCGTCTGCCATTCCACGGATTTGGCTCCTGGCAGGTATTCAGACAAGGCTGGTGGGGAGGAGAGGGAAGAAGAGGAGGCGGTCAAGGTGAGGGCTTGTTTTCAAGCGTATGCAATTTTTGTGACAAGTCAAGCAGACTGACTTCAGCCAGCTGCTTTTTTTTAAAGATGTACTTTTTATGGGGTACAGCAGAGGTGAGGGGAACGAGAGGCTTCACCAGAGACAGAGCGGGGAGCAGAACAGGCCAACTGTTGAAGTACACTGCTGAGGGGAGCAGCGGGCAGGTCAGGAGAGGTCTGCCGCGCCATGGGGTCACCTCCAGGGCGGGGATCGAACTCCTGCTGCTCTTTTAAAGAAAGAGTTCCCGGCGGAGAGCTGGAGCCAGGGCCCGAGATTCACCCCGGAAAAGAAGGGCTCCCAATACCTGACAGAATGTTCTGAAGGATTATAAACGGCGCTTACTTCGAAAACTCGAAACATGAAAAAGAAAGATGCTCAGGTAGGCTTCCCTGTACAGTTTCACCGTAGTTCGAGAAGTCTAAGGCAGAAGGGAAAATGCTGTCCAGTGAAGGTGGCTTTTGCCAAGTCCGTGGTGGACCTCTGTCCTGGGAAGCTGGATAATGGCCGTCTCCCTCCGTGGTTCTGTGCAGTAGGACGTGGTGACGGGGCCTGGCCCGGCCGGCTCCCTCTGGGCTGTGCTGCAGTTGGCGGGGACTGTCCCCATGGCTGTGACAGCCAAGGAGACACCGACGTCTCTTAGAAGCTCAAGCTGTTCGTTTTGTGGTGGAGTCTAATTTGTTTCGTTCCCAGATCGGTGTTCCAAGTGAAATTTCTAGGCCAATTTGCAACTTTTTACTGAGATTATTTTGTCCTGTGGGACCCCATTAAGTTATTGTCTTGTATAATGTGGATGTTCACCATAAACACATATCCAGGAATCTGCAGCTTTATGGGCGTGACCAATACTTAGTGCTACCAAGGACCGCACATTGTCCTTAGAGTTTAAAGCATCATCATCCCTGAATACTCATAATCCTTTCAGGTTGGGGTTTCGATGATTCCCATCTTCTGGATGAATGAACAGTGCGCAGGTGGGTCAGTTACCTGGCTGACACACCAGGTGGGTACGCAGTGGGGCTGGGGTCTGGCCAGGCACCTGCCCTTGGGCCGGCACCCCCACCCCGTGGCAGGGCACACCTCTGCAAGTCTGTGGTCCCAAGGACATTTTGTTTTCTCTTAGGAGTGACTGGGTGACCTCCTACAAGGTCATGGTGAGCAACGACAGCCATACCTGGGTCACGGTCAAGAATGGATCTGGAGACATGGTGAGTCTCTCTTTGCCGTGGCCCTGCCCTGAGCATAGAGAGGCAATGTGTGCCGGGTCCCGCGGGCGCCGCTGTTTCCTGCTTCTGTGTCAACTCCAAGCGAGCAACCGTGGGTCCCTGGCGCTCAGCACCCAGAAGCCCACAGTTAGGGCTGGTGGAGCATGCGGAGCTGCTGTGGTGCAGACTCTGACACAATTTACAGGTCAGCACGGGAGAGCGGTGGCGCGCGGGTGGTGCTGGGCTGCTCCCAGCTGTTTGCTAACAACAGTGTTCTGACTTTCTCTAAAGTCACTGATTTTCCAGCCCGGGTCGTTTTTAATCACGCCACCTGCTTCCTGAGGTCACCGATGCATATTCCTGACAGGTACCCAGCGTCTCACCGATCACTCTGGAGCCTGTTTTCAGCCTCCTTTCTCATCTCATCCCCTTCCGCGCGCCCACGTTCCCGCGAGAGCAAGCCAGCGGCTATACTCTCTCTGCGTTCCAGGTCCGACGGCCATGGCCCAGCCTTGCTGTCCCTTTTCTCTGGCTAGAGGCCTGCTCGCTTTCCTTCAAGGCCAGTTCCAATGGCACCTCGTCCCTGTCTCCTTACCCGGTCCCGTCCATCTGCAAGCCGAGAGCTCTGTGGCTGTGTCTTTGCCCGGGCGCAGACAGGTTTCTTCTCCACATCTAAGTGCGATATCTCAGGCGGTGGCCCCTGCTCCGCCGGCGCTTCCTGAGGGCAGGTCCGGCCCAGCTCGTTCCTCTCCCTTTCACTGCCGCTGCGCACCAGGGCCCTTCAGCAAGATCCTGGTAAGGCGTGAAGTACTCACTCCTCTGTCTCTGAGTCAGCCAGTTCTGAAAGATTCGTTTCCCCGCTACGTACACAGGTATTTGCAGGGAACAGTGAAAAGGAGACTCCCGTTCTCAACGAGCTGCCGGTCCCCATGGTGGCCCGCTACATCCGCGTCAACCCGCAGTCCTGGTTCGACAACGGGAGCATCTGCCTGAGGCTGGAGATCCTGGGCTGCCCTCTGCCAGGTGAGTCGCCCTCTTGCTCCTGGTGGCCAGCAGGCACGGGGTCCAGGCAAATAGAGTAACCGAGCTGTCTTTTCCTCCTGTCAAACAATACCATGGGCCCTCCCTGGGGGCGCAGCGGGTCAAAGCACAGCACTAAGCAGTTAAAGCCGCTTAGGCACGAGTTTGATCCCTGCCCGCCCTCCCTGGAGGTGACCACATGGCGCGGCAGACCTCTCCTGACCCGCCCGCTGCTCCCCTCAGCAGTAGACTTGGTCCATCTGCCTGTTCTGCTCCCACTCTGTCTCTGGTGAAGCCTCTCACCACCCCTGTACCTCTGTCCTGTACCCCAGTTCTGTATGCACAAATAAATCAATCTTTAAAAAAAATACCACCTCTACTACAGGCTATTTAGAAAACAGAAATCAGATGAAAAGGAAAATCAGTAAAATTCTCCCCAAATCTCACTCAGCCCTGGGAATATTGGGGTCTCAGTCCAGTACAACTTCACCCACTGGGAGTTCCAGCAGATGCATGCATGAAAGCTTAGAGATGCACTCAGCACAGAGGGAGCGAACACTACCTGGCGTTCGGTGACCTTCACTGCCCTTGAGCGCCTGCAGCCTGGGGACGGGGTGGGGACGTTCACTGCAAGCTTGGCCATTGGTGTCGTTTCTTCTACTTAAGCAGCTTCGTGGGTGCCTTATCTCTGGGTAAGTGCTTGTTTCTTCCGGTTGTGTGTCCCTGGCTCTGTTTTCACACGATTGTGCGTGCAGTGACCACGGCAACGTAGGACGTAAGGGGCTCCTTGCTGGTGGCGCCTTGCTGGTGTTTGGCCGCGTACGTCTGGCTTCTTGCTAGTGTTTGCTCGGGGCGGGCCCAGTGGCCTGGCTTGGGTGGCCACTGCCCGGCCTTGCAGAGGTTAGGACTCTGCCCCGGGGCGCCTGTAGGCGGCAGACTCACCACCCTGACCAGACATCTCCAGGGAAGGAAGCCGGGGCCCAGAACACCCCTCAGGCCCTTCATTGGGGTGGGGGAGCCCTACACTGTGTGTACCACAGGGCCCAGCTTCCACTGCCTGGGGTCAGGCTGCTGCCAGCTCTGCTGTTCTCACGGGGCCTCCCTCAGCCTGTGCCATGGCCAGTCCCACCCACAGGTACCTACACTTCCTGTGTTCTCAAACCACATTTAATGTCACTTACCGTTCACGAGGTCACGCTGCATCCCACAACACCCAGTGTCAGGCCTTGCCAACTACGACATTTTAGAAAGCCAAGTCTGCTGGTGACAAAGATGGTGCCTTCCTGGAAAACATCTTTCACATTTCAAGTAGAGACCATCTGCCTGGCCTCTGCCCTGCCCCAAACACAAGCCGCCCTCGCCAGTGCCTCTCCTGGACAGAGGGCCCGTGGCTGCCCACACTGTGGTTCTGTAAGAGCCTCGCAGGTGCGTCTCTCTGTCGCTGTGCGTGTCTGTGATTGTTGTTTATGCTACGGGATCGCTAAGTTATAAGATTACCACACAAATCAGCTTATGAAAAGGAGGTGAGCGATGGAAAGGGGTGTCTATTTCCAAGACGGCTCCAGAGAGAATGTTGGAGTCTGGCCTGACTTGGGATTCGGGCTTCTTTCTGTGGCCAGTTCATCCTGGAATTGCGGCCCCAGACGCACCTGCTGTGGCTCAGGGCTGCGGGGAGCCCCCGCACAGTGCTCCGGTGGGCACAGATGTGGCGGGGTGCCCTCGCGAGGCCCCTCTGTGCCGCGTGGCCCAGCCTCACTGACCTGCTTTAAAGAGCGGGTCGCGGCTTCTCTCTCTGTTGCTGGTAAAGGGCAAAGGGCAGCCTGTGAGTCTCGGGAAATAAATGTTCCCCGTGAAGTTATTCCTGAGGAGTGCGCAGAGACGGCCCGGAGGCAGCTGGAGCCTGGCCCGGGGTCACTGTGGGGAATCTGCATGGGTTTCTGTAGGGCTCAGAATGCCTCTATTTTCCAGTCCCGAATATGTGGGGGATTTTTCTTCTAGAAGGTACTTAGTCTGCCCAGAGGGGAGCTGGCCTTTGTGTTTGACACTTGGCAGGGTCATGGCTGAGGCTGAGGTATTGGGATGGAACCCCCAATTCTGTGGGAAGCAGTGAGCCCTACCCGTGTGCTCCTGCCCACACAGTTCTTTCGTGCAAGTCAGCGAGGCCGCAGGCAGAGAGAATCCGGCTAAGTCAGCCGCCCAGACTGCAGGCCATGGGGCATCCAGATGTCCGCAGGGTGCAGGGCCTGTTCCTCCCAGAACTCCTGCTCGGGAAAAGCTCCCATTGCTTTGGTTTCTCTTTGTCCCATCTTTCATCTTCCGCCACCTTCCTGTGATTTCTCAGCTGGACATGGAAGAAGGTAGGGATCCTTTATAGGCTTTTGTGGATGGTATTTTCAGATGTTTTTGATCTGGAAATGATTGGCCCCAGCCCACAGTTATCAACAGGTTTTTGAAAAATTAAAACTAAAAGAAGTGCAGAATGCTGTTGAGTAATTATGGAATTCAGCTTGGCAAGATGAAAAAGTTCCAGAACTCGGTCACACAGCAATGCGAATATACTGAAATGTGCTCTAAGAGAGGGCTTAGAGAATACATTTTGTGCACATATGTCAATGAAACATTTTAAAAATAAAAACCAGTTTCTTTATTGCTGTTAAATTTTTGAAAGCAAAGGGAGTCCTTTCTCACATTTGAATGAACAGTTTGGACTAAAGATCACAAGTGGGACGGCTTCTTTTTTATTTTTAAACATTTATTTATGTATGCACACAAGAACTGGGTGCAGGCCAATGTGTGGGGTGAAAGATTCACCAGGGACAGAGTGGGGAGCAGAACAGGTGGAGCAACTGACTTCCACTGCTGAGGGGAGCAGCAGAGGGAAAGGAGGGGTCTGCTGCGCCCTGGGGGTCACTCCTGGGCCGGGATCGAACTCAGGCTGCAGCAGCTGCAGACAGCTTCATAGTGCTGAGATTTTATCCCTGTGCTACCAGGGAGGCCCAGAGGCGGTATCTTGAGAGCACTCTAGCACTGATAAGAAACTCAGGAGAAGACACCCACTAGTTGACGTCAGGCTCACTATGGGGATCGAGTTGGTGTTCCTTTTGCAAAGGAAACCACGATGCCCATGGTCTGGTTTTGAAAGGGCCTGTGAGTGGCAGGCCCAGCTTGGGTCCCAGGGCCACCTCTGAGCCAGGGCCTGTGGCCAGAGGACACGTGATTGAGTTGGCCAGACCTAGGCCGGTGGCAAAGTGGTTCTGTTGGAACCACCTGGAAGAGTCTTCTCGTAGAAGGGGACTCATGTGTCCTGGGAAGAAGGGGGTGATGGTGGGGGGCTAGCTGGTGGTGTCTGGAGACTCCGGGCCGGTGCTGGGCTCCTGTGAGCTTCTCCCCGACTGTCCAGTTAGGATAGATGGGCAGGAAGAGCAGAGCTGTCCAGTTGCAGGACACTAGCTTAGAGAGCAGGGCTCCCCTGCAGCTTTGAGGGGTTCTGGAATTTGTACCTGAGGAAAGAAAGAACTTCACCAAACAAAGCTAAGTAGAAAAGAGCTCTGTTTTTTTTTTTTTTGTTCGTTTGTTTTTGTTTTTTTGTTGTCTCAATGTTCCGAAAGAACCTTGTGTTCTGACACCAAGGGGGATTTAAGGGCCTCTGGGAAGCGACCCTTGGGGGCGTTGAAGAGCTTTTAGGAGACCGCATGGAGGTATGCTAAGCGTAAAGAATGTGAAATATGCTTTATCTTTGCTTTGAAAGTTAGTCCCTGGGCAGGTGGCTTGCCTGAGGGTGGGGTCAGCTCTCACTCCCTCAATGCAGGTGCTGGAAAAACCAAAGGGTTGGGGGGGGGGGGGCTTTGGCTAAATGGGGGGGGGGGATTTCTACTTTCTCTCCTGGACCACACACCCACTTGCTTTCCACAGGCTGTGTTTCTATGACAGTTAGTTGTTTCAGGTAGCATTTCTGGCGAACCTTTTGCAGCTGTTAAAACTGGTTGCTGGGGCCCTCCCCTGTGGTGCAGCAGGTTAACGCAGCACTAAGAAGCTAAAGCTGTAGCTTGAATTCAGTCCCTGCCC